CCAAAGGAATTCTTTCTATCAATAGGGCAAAACCAGTTAAATATAGAAAAAAATGTAAAGGAGCAAAACCTACATATTAAAAAACAAAGACTTAAAGATTGAGTCAAAAAACTAACATCAAATCATGTGCTGTTTATAAGGGACACCCCTAAAACAGAGACCAGAAAAAATTCATCCCAGTAGGATGACTCCACAACAAGTCTATTCTCTTTGGTGCCCTTTCTTTCTTCCCTTTTCCACCTTTCAAAACCCTTCTAATAGATAGATATATTTGTACATGCCTGGAATTTCTCTTGAAGAATAAGCAAGAAGCCGATAACATTGGTTGACTCCAGGGAGGTGAACCGGGTGACTGACTGGAGAACAGAGGGGGGAGGAAGATTTCACCTTTTGAATTGTGAATTATGTACATATATTACTTATTTTTTTAAAAAAAGCCAAACAAACTAAAAACAAAACCAAACTGTATGATCCTTAAGTCTAAGCCATCCTCTTTCCTCAAAAAATTAAAAATAGAATTACCATGTGCTGCAGCAATTCTGCTTCTGGGCATATACTCAAAATAATTGAAAGCAGAGTCTTGATAAGATATTTGGGTTGGGTACATTGGCTCACCCTGGTAATCCAGAACTTTGGGAGGCCAAGGCAGGTAGATCACTTGAGACCAGGAGTTTGAGACCATCCTGGCCAACATGGTAAAACCCCATCTCTACTAAACATACAAAAATTAGCCAGGCATGATGATGGGCACCTGTAGTCCCAGATACTCAAGAGGCTGAGGCAGGAGGATCCCTTGAACCTGGAAGGCAGAGGTTGCAGTGAGCCCAGATCATGCCACTGCACCCCAGCCTAGGCGACAGAGCAAGGCTCCGTCTTGAAAGAAAAGAAAAGAAAAGATATTTATACACCCACACTCATGGCGGCATTAGTCACACTAGCTAAAACATGGAAGCAATGTAGGTATCCATCAAAAGATGAATGGATAAGCAAATGTGGTGGGCACATATGATGGAATACTATTCAGCCTGAAAAAGGAAGGAAATCCTGACACGTGGATGAGCCTTGAGGACATTACGCTAGTGAAAAAAGCCCTTCACAAAAGGACAAATACTGTATGATTCCATTTATAAGAGGTACTTAGAGTAGTCAGATTCATAGAGACAGAAAGTCAAATAAATTTCCCAGGCCTGGGAGGAGAGTGGGGAATGGGGAGTTGTTTAATGGGTACAAAGTTGCAGTTTGGGAAGATGAAGAGCATTCTGTGGACAGATGATGATGATGGTTTTATCTAACACAAATTTACTTAGTACCCCTGAATTATACACTTATAAATGGTTAAGATGGTAAATTTTATGTTACGTGTAATTTTGCCATAACAACAACAAAAAAAAAAAAAAGGAAAAGAGGTCAGGTGTGGTGGCTCACACCTGTAATCCTAGCACTTTGGGAGGCCAAGGAGGGCAGAGCAACAGAGGTTAGGAGTTTGAGACCAGCCTGACCAATATTGTGAAACCCTGTCTCTACTAAAAATACAAAAATTAGCCAGTCATGGTGGTGTGTGCCTATAATCCCCGCTACTTGGGAGGTTGAGGCAAGAGAATCACTTGAACCTGGGAGGTGGAGGTTGCAGTGAGCTGGATCATACCACTGCACTCCAGCCTGGGTGACAGAGCAAGGTTCCATCTCAACAAGAAGAAAGAAGAAAGAAAGAAAGAAAAAAAAAGAAAAGAAAGAAAAGAAAGAAAGAAAGAAGGAAAGAAAGAAAGAAAGAAAGAAAGAGAAAGAAGGGAAAGAAAGAAAAGAAAAGAGAAGAGAAGAAAGAAAGGAAGGAAGGAAGGAAAGAAAGGAAAGGAAGGAAAGGAAGGAAGGAAGAAAGAAAGGAAGAAAGGAAGGAAGGAAGGAAAAAAAGAAAGAAAAGAAAAGAAGAGAGAAAGAAAAGGAAAGGAAAGAAAGAAAGAAAGAAAGAGAGAGAGAGAAAAAGAAAGAAAGGAAGGAAGAAAGAAAGGAAGAAAGAAAGAAAGAAAGAAAGAAAAAGAAAGAAAGAAAGAAAGAAAGAAAAAGAAAGAAAGAAAGAAAGAAAAAGAAAGAAAGAAAGAAAGAAAGAAAGAAAGAAAGAAAGAAAGAAAGAGGCATAGTTATTCCCTTCCAAGAGGCCCCTTCCCACACATCTCCTTCTTCTCCGACCCTGTGTTGCTTTTAGGAAAATTCAGCCCATCTCTAGGCATGTTAGTTTCCTGGCAAAACCACAGACTCAGATTCTTGAGGACAGGCCTTCTTTTATTCTTTTTCTTAAAAAAAAAAAAAACACACACACAAACAAAACTACTCCTCTATATTCCTGGATGGCAAAGTATTTAATGAATGCTTGGTGGAGTTGGCATATCTAGCTTCCTAGGCTAAATCTACCCTTGGAGAGCACACTTTCTGGGCTCTGGAAATAGGAACACTGCCAACTTGACCACCATGGTGTGGTGGAAAGAGCTCAGGCTGTGGAGTCAGCTGACTGGGATTGGAATGCCAGCACAGCCACCGTGTCTTCAGGCAAATAAGTACACCATCCTGGCCTCAGTTTTCTTCACCAAATAAGGGATAATGATGTGTGCTTAAATATAATGTGGTTCTTCAGAAGTATGGGCTTGGTGAAAAACACACACAATGAAGATCGTTCTTATCTGTTTTCTACATGGAGAGAGATTGTGGATCTGAGCACGTTCTCCTCTCCTGCCTGTGCCTTTTCCTAGCTCTACGTCAGGAGGCAGAGAGAACTCTGCTGAGGGAACAGAAGCCTTCTTTGTTTACTTTTCCTTTTTATACCTTTTGTCTTTTGAGATCATCATAAACTCACATGCAGTTGTTAGAAGTAATAGAGAGAGATCCCATATACCCTTCATCCAGTTTCCCCCCCGTGGTAACACCTTGAATAGCTATAGTACAACGGCACAACCAGAGGTTGACATGGGCACAACCCATTGACCTTACTCTGGTTTCACCAATGTGTCTGTGTGTGTGTGTGTGTGTGTGTGTGTGTGTGTGTGTGTGTAGTTCTATGCAGTTTTATCCCATGTGCAGATGTGTAGATCCTCAGGTTGCACTTTTTTCTGAGTTCTGTTTAAGGGCTTCTGTTTCAGAAGGACATTTATCCTACATGCATCGCTGAGGTTTCTTTCAAAGACTCCAGTCTTCACAGCTCCACCACTGCCTTTATCTTCCTTTTCCTTCCACATCTTAAAGGTTCCTTAGAGAGCTGGAACAGGTCTGGAGTGGTGGCTCCAGCCTATAATCCCAGCACGTTGGGAGACCAGGGTGGGAGGACCACTCAAGCCCAGGAGTTTGAAACCAGCCCAGGCAAAATAGTGAGACCCCACCTCTTAGGAAAAGAAAAAGAGAGAGTTGGAACAAGTAACAGGTACATCAGAGAATTCCCAACTCATCTTCATTAAAATGTGTCCTACGTCCCCTGGAGTCCCCTAGACTTGAGAAGGGTCCCTATTCCAGCAGACGCCTGTGGGTTACAGGCCACCCATGTGTCTCCAGACATGCACTAAACCTGCTCCCTCCTGTGGTGAGGTCCTGCCTTCCAGCCTGGGCCAGTGCAGGCTCTAAGTGTTCCACCTTGGTGGGCTCCAAACCTCCTGAATTACCTTTCTCTCCCTTCGCGGGGGTCAACCTTGGAACTGCAAGCTCAAATTTGGGGTCTTTTCATCCTTATAAGTCAATGTAGTCCTTGGGTGCTTGGGGGTGTGCCAAAGGAGCAGCTGCAAGATCAGACACCCAGAATTCTCAACATGCTCCCATCAGCTGGACTTGTACTCACTGAAAAGTGAAGAGGGGATCCCATCAAAGGTTCCCCTTCCTTTGCTTCCTGGGATCCACTTTTCAGATATGTGCTTTGTGGCCTCAGTGATACTAGTGATCTAATCTCTCAGGGCCTCAGTCTTCCCATCTATGAAACGGAACCAATAGACCCTCCCAGGGCTCCCATGGATGCTTCAGTGAGATAACGGCTGCAGCAGGCCCAGAGCCTTGAGGGCAAGTGCTCGTGCAAAGAGCTGTCAGATGCCACCCTACTTGTCACGATTCTCCTCACTTCCCAGTCACTGGCCATACGTGACACTCCACTGGGGCTGGCTGTGCCACCCTCAACCTTCCATATCTTTCTCTAGATTAATTGCCCTAAGAATTGGGTCTCATCTTGAGGGTGGGAAGAGAAACCAAAACAGGTGATGTGTAATCAGGGACTTAACATGACTCAACTGTGCCCTGCTCTGTCCCTGTTTCCCAGGCCATTTAAGCCACTTCCAATTGTACAAGATTAACTTGCTTGCTAGGACTCCCAGAGAAACCTGAGGAATCTCTCTCTTTCTCCCCACCCCCACCCCTCCCACCCACCCCCACCCCGCCACCCCCATCCCACTCTCTTTTTCAGGGCCCAGGACAGAATAACTCAGAGCTTCCCTTGGGAGGGTGCACAGGACACACAGCGAGAGGCAGAGCTCAGATCTTGCTTCTTTTCTTCCTTGGCCACTCACACTCCCAGCCCTGCCGCCAACCCCTGAAACCCTGCACCCCAGGGCATCCCTGGTGGGGGGCAGTGGGCCATCTCTCTTTACAGGGAGGATTTGGCTAATAAGAACCAGCTGTGTTGTTGGTGGGTTTTACTCTGTCCCTCCCCTGCCCTTGCTCTGATAGCTGTGAGAAACTGATGACAACCTGTTTGACCTCTGACCTCCGAACTTGACCCGCTGCTAATACCTCCAGCTGCTGATTGCTGGCCGAGCCCTTTGTCTCGGGCTGTTTGGGAGCCAAGACAGACAAATGATTTCTATTTGTCCTCTGGTGCCGCGGACGGAGCTGATCGATAGGAACCACGAATGATGTCAAGGATTTGTCACCATGGCTTATGAATGACAAAAACGCTCCTCACCACCCCCTACCTTTCCCCCTCCCCAAAGAAACACCTTTTGGGGGAAAAAGACTGAAAGCCAGAGAAGGCATATCGATTTTTTTTTTGCTTTCTTAAATAGCAGCTCGAGACACAAAAGAAAGACAACACTTTTCTGTGCTAAAATGCAGCAAAAAGCTTCCCAGAGAACGAGACTAGTGATTAGATCAGCTATTGCATTTAAGTACCAGAGCCCGCCTCACAACACAACCGCTCAATTTCATCTGCTGAAGGCTGTACTGTTTCTCCCCCATCTCTGATCATTCCAGACACAAGGGAGGCTCCCAGCAAGAAGGCACTTTTCTCCCTCTCACTTCTTCATCTGCCTTCAGCTTGGTGACCATCTCTGTCCCTTTCCCTCCTTCAATCTCCTTCTTTTCTCCTGGTGGGTCATGGGCTGGACACCCTGGTATGTGAGTCTGAGCTGGTTTACAGCCTTTCTTTAGCAAAAGCTTATCACAGCCTTTGAATTTGGACACTTATTTGAAAAAGAAAAGACAGAAGGTAGGGACGTGATCTTAACGTTGCGAGGACACACTGCTTGGGAAAGCCCCTCTCAGTCCCCCATGCAGGTTTCGGAGGGAGGATGGGGAGGCAGCCCATCCCTCTGGAAAGCTGGAAGGCCCCAAAGCAGTGAGGGCAGCAAGGCGTCCCCCTCAAACTTCAACATCTGACGCCTTCAGTGAGAGCCTCTCTGCTGGCGTGGAACCACAGGGCGAGTGAGATCTGTCTGCGTGTCCTTGGGGAGCTCACCCTCTAGGACGGGCAAGCAAACCGTGGCACAGCAGCCAGCTGGGTGCATGCTAGGGCAGAGGAGGGCAGGGAGTGGGGAAACCTGGAGTGGCGACAAGGATGGGGGTATTGGGATCACTACAGGAGGGGACGCTCTTGTCAAGCTTGGACAAATAGGCAGCAGTAGAAAGTGGCCACTGCATTCCACGCTGTAGAGACCAAGGACCTCATGAGCCTGTGGTGTGGACTCTTTAGGCCATGGCTTACTGGAGGCCAGATATGCCCTGGAGGCCCTAAAGTGAGCAGCCACTGCATGAACGACTCAGAGACTCCATTTTCTCATCTGTGAAATGGGCAAGGCAATGGCATCCACCTCACGGGGTTGCCGAGAGTAGTAAATTGGACAATCCATGCAAAGTGTTGATACTGTCTTGTCATCCATGTGGCTGTTCTTGTTTTATTTTCAGCTGTTAATAGTTGAAGACTTGCTTCCAGTCTGGCGATTCCTCAGTCAGGTTGATTAAATGAGGGTAGAGAGAGACAGCTCCTACTTCCCACACACCTTAAATAGAACCATGACCTGGGTGTAGTGGAGAAGCCAGATCAATAAATGGGGCTCTGGCAGGACGAGGTCTCTGACCAAGGTCAGAGCATGGCTCTGGAGAAGACCAGAATGACCTCTCTCCTCAAGCACAGGCACTGGGCAGAGGCAGGAGAGAATGGCTGCTCCCCGATGGGGCTTAAGACGGAGTGGCTGTAAGGATGCACGGCAATGCAGGGCTCAGTACTGACTGCTCAGTCTATTGCAGCGGCCACCTACCTGGTCTCGGGTCTCTCTCATCCTCTGTCTGCACTGCCATCAGGATGACCTTCCCAACTCAAATCTGATCACAAACTTCTGTTTGGATCCCTCCAGTGGTTCCTCATTCTCTTAAGAATAAAGCAAAAACGTCTTAGACCAGCATTCACGGCTACCCTGTTTTGCATCATGCTAACCACACAAATCATACATCCTGTGTGGCTCTACCACCTGGCCTTTGCTCAGGCCAGTTCCTCTACCTGAAATGCCCCCTTCGGCTCTGTTTTAGTAAGAATTCTCCTTCCTTTCTCCATTTCTTCCCACAGCACACTGTTCTTCCATTCTAGAACTTAGAGCCCTTGACCAGAACGATTCTGTTCATTTCTGTCTCCTGCCTAGACTGAGGTCTCTGAAGGCCAGGAACCACGCCGTGCAGAGGCCACCACACCAGATAACTATGCGCTGAATGGAACATTTGGAAAGTGCTTGAATCTTAGAGAAAATTTAGGAAGTGGTGAGGGGTGGTGGCATGGCAGTGGGAGGTGCTGCGCTTTAACAAAAGACAATAGTAGGCAAAGTATTTAGTTTTCAGGTTGATCCAAAATGCAAGGGGATTAAAATCAGGGTGTTTGCCATCAGTGACTCACAAATGGCTGCTCAATTAAAATGTCTGCCAGGTCCGGTGGCTCACACCACCCAACACTTTTTTGGGAGGCTGAGATAGGAGGATTGTTTGAGCCCAGGGTTCAAGACCAACCTGGCCAACATAATGAGACTCCTTCTCTACAAAAAATTTAAAACGTAGCCAGCCTTGGTGGTGCATACCCGTGGTCCCAGCTACTCAAGGTGCAAGGATAGCTTGAGCCTGGGAGGTCAAGGCTGTAGTGAGCTGGGATTGTGCCACTGCACTCCACCCTGAGTGACAGGGCAAGACTCTGTCTCAAAAATATTTTTTTATAACACCAAAAATACAACATACTTATTATGGAAAATGCAAGCAATAAGGAAAAGTAGGTCGGGTACAGTGGCTCATGTTTGTAATTCCAGCACTTTGAAAGGCCGAGGCCAGAGGCTCACTTGAAGCCAGGAGTTCAAGACCAGCCTGGGCAACATAGTGAGACCCTATCTCTAGAAAAAATAAAATAAAAATTAGCTGGGTGTGATGGCATGTGCCTGTGGTCCTAGCTACTTGGGAGGCTGACGTTGAGTTGGAGGCAGCAGTGAGCTATAATTGGTCATGCCACTGTACTTGAGCCTGATCAACTCTGTCTCTTAAAAAAAAAAAAAGAAGAAGAAGAAGAAAAAAATTTTTTAATGAAAAAGTATAAAAAAGTAGTAAAATCCTTGTAAAATCCTCTTGTATTGATTAGAACTATTTCTTCTACTCATGGTGGAAAACAGCTCAAACTAGCTTAAGTGTAAGGGATTATTGGCTCCTGGGACAGAGGAGCATGGTCAGGCTCAAACGATGTCCTCTGGAGCTGCTCTCTCTCTCACACCATCTCCCTCTGTCACTCTCTGACATCCGTTGGCTCTCTTCCACGCTGGCTTTATAGGCAGGCTTCCCCTTTGTGATTCCAGGGCAGCTACAGCTATTCCAGATCTCACATCTCTAAACTTTGGGTCCAGCAGGGAAGAAAGACTATGACAGATTGTCTTTTCTGCAGAAGGCCACATGGTATCTCTGTCTCACACGCTTTTCTGCAATGTGACCTTGTGACTTCCCCATCAAGAGGTGGTATCTAATTCCCCTCCTCTTGGATCTGAGCTAGCTTTAGTGACTCATTTGCAACCAAGAGAACGTGGCAAAGTGGTGCTGACATGGTCTCTGAGGCTAAGTCAGAAGCCTACCTGCTTTTGCTTTGGTCTCTTGAAATACTCTCCAGAGTCTTCCCTCTTAAAGACACCGCCCCTGGGAACTGGATCCCAAGCTGTCAGAAGTCCAAGCTATATGCAGCCCATGTGTAGGTTCTCCGGTCGACAGCTCCAGCTAAGCCCAGCCTTCCAGTGACTCCAGGTATGAAGAGCTCTCCAGCTGATTCCTGGTCAAGTCATTTGTAGCTGGAAGTTGTAACTTCCCAGCTAAGGCCCTGGATATCAAGGTGCAGAGATAAGGCATTCCAGTTGTGCCTTTTCCAAACTCCCGACAACAGAATTGGTTGTAAAATGGTTATTGTTTTACACCATGTAAGTTTTAGAGAGCTTTGCTATGCAACACAATCTTTCTCAGGATCTCCAGAATAATCCACGCTGATGTGGTCCCCTAGTCAATCCCCTTGAGCCTATGCAAGGGCACAGCCAGTCACCCTAATCCCAGGGCAGGTCAGTTCCATCAGAATGAGAACTGGGGCCATGTGGCAAGCCCAGATGGTCACTGGGCACTGGCTACCCACAGAAGGTACAATCCACAGAATCTACTTCCTAACACCCAGAAATTTTGGAGACTACTCTTCCAGACTCCTTCCTGGGAGTACACACTTAGGTATACAATTCAACACAAATGAAGCATACTCTACACAATCTTTTGTAATCTTTTTTAAAACTTAATGGATTATGGGGCTCTGTTGATGTCAATGGATACAGATTTTTTTTTTTTTTGAGACAGGGTCTTGCTCTATTGCCCAGGCTGCAGTGCAGTGGTGCAATCATAGTTCCTCAAACTCCTGGGCTCAAACGATCCTCCCACCTTAGCCTCCCGAGAAGCTGGGACTCCAGGCATGCACCACCACACCTGGCTAATTTTTCTATTTTTATTTTTTGCAGATACAGAGTCTCACTATATTGCCCAAGCTGGTTTTGAACTCCTGGCCTGAAGTGATCCTCCTGCTTCAGTTTCCCAAAGCTCTGGGATTACAGGTGTGAGCCACCATGCCCCAGGCATCACTTTTAATGGCTGCATATGATTTCATTGCATGAATGAAGCATAATTGATTTAACCAGTTCTGTATTTATGGATCATTAAGTCATTTCCATTTTTTGCTATTATAAATAGTACTGAGATAAACATCATTGCACATATACCCTTGGGTACATCTTTCAGTGTTTCCTTAGGATAAATTCCAAGAAGTTGAATTGTAGATTCTAAGATTATACACATTTTCAAGGCTTGCCAAGGGTTTCTTTTTTTGTTTTTTGAGATGGAGTTTCACGCTTGTTACCCAGGCTGGAGTGCAATGGCGCAATCTCCGCTCACCACAACCTCCACCTCCTGGGTTCAGGCAATTCTCCTGCCTCAACCTCCCGAGTCGCTGATATTACAGGCACACGCCACCATGCCCAGCTAATGTTTTGTATTTTTAGTAGAGACGGGGTTTCACCATGTTGACCAGGATGGTCTTGATCTCTTGACCTCGTGATCCACCCGCCTCGGCCTCCCAAAGTGCTGGGATTACAGGCTTGAGCCACCGCGCCCGGCGGCTTGCCAAGGGTTTCTAAACTGTCCTTCAAAGATGTGTTTCTTTCTCCTTCCTTCCTTTTTTTTCATTTTTCTTTCTCCTCTTTCTTTTCTTCTTTCACTCTCTTACTTTCCCTTTCTCTTTTCTTTCTCTCTTTCCCTTTCTCTTTTTCTTTCTTTCCTTTTTCTTCCTTCTTTCTTTCCTCCTTCTGTCCCCCTCCCTCCCTCTCCCTCCCTCCCTCCTTTCCTTTCTTCCTTCCTTCCTTCCTCCCTTCCTCCCCACCCCGCTTTCTTCCTTTCTTTTTGAGACAGGGTCTCACTGTGTCACCCAGGCTGGAGTACAGTGAAGCAATCGTGGCTCACTGAAGCCTCAGCTTCCTGAGCTAAAGTGATCCCCTCACCACAGCCTTCTGAGTAGCTGGAACTACGGCATGCATTACCATGCCTGGTTAATTTTTAAATGTTTTGTAGAGATGGGTTCTCACTGTGTTGCCCAGGCTGGTCTCAAACTCCTGGGCTCAAGTAATCCTCCAACCTCTGCCTCCTAATAGTGTTGGGATTACACACAGATCTGGGCTGACCCTCAGTCCCACCATTTCCCAACTGTGTGTCCACAGGCCCACCACGCAACCTCTCTGGGCTTCAGATTCTTTAGATGAAAAATGGGAATGCTTCCCAGCATCCTTGTTAGGACTGAACGAGGAGAAGCACATGGAGATGCCAAGCACCCTGCCTGGAAAAGTGCAGGTGCTCAATAAATGTTAGTTCTTCATGAAGCCAGGCATGATGGCTCACTTCTGTAACCTCAGTGCTTTGGGAGGCCAAGGCAGGTGGATCGCTTGAGGCCAGGAGTTTGAGAACAGCCTGGGAAACATAGCAAGACCTCTGTTTCTACAAAAAAAAAATTTTTTTTTTAAATTAACCAGCTATGGTGGTACATGCCTATAGTTCCAGCTGCTTGGGAGGCTGAGTCAGAAGGATTGCTTGAACCCAGGAATTAGAGGCTATAGTGAGCTATGATTGGACCACTGTACTTCAGCCTGGGTGACAGGTGAGACCTTGTTTCAAACAAATAAAATAAGAAATAAATGTCAGTTCCCACTTTGCATTTGAAACTCATGACAATGAGATTCCATCTAGCCCATTTATGTGACTAAATTATAAATACCATCTAACATTTATTGAATACTTACTATGTGCCAGGCATTGCTCTGAATGTTATTAATCTGTTACCTCATTTAATCCTCAAAGAATCCCATGAGGCAAATGATATCCCTATTTGACAGATGAGGAAACTGAAGCACAGATGTTAAAGCCACTTGCCCAAAGTCACACAGCTAATGAGTGGTGGAATCAAGATTTGAATCCAGTTCAGCTTGGCTCTGGATCCTGGACTGAGAGCATGACCCCTCCTGTTCTCCCTCTCTCCAGCCCCTTCCCATGCCCACCATAGGCTCCTAAGCCCTTGCATGACTAAGTGCCATGCTGGGGGCCAGAGGGGACTACATGAGATATTCAAGGAGCTCATGGTCCAGTTCAGGAGATAAAATGCATAGAATCACAAGGTAAGAAGCAGGTAAATGTCAAAAGAGGAAAACTGAGTTGCAAGTTGAGAAGAAGGGATCAATGTCAGAGACCAAGCGGGTGGGCATCCAGGCAAACGCAATCTTTTATTTCATTTTTTCTAAGACAGAGTTTCACTCTTCTCTCCCAGGTTGAAGTGCAATGATGCAATGTCAGCTCACTGCAACCTCTGACTCCAGGGTTCTAGTAATTCTCCTGCCTCAGCCTCCCGAGTAGTTGGGATCACAGGCACATGCCACCACACTTGGCTAATTTTTGTATTTTTAGTAGAAATGGCATTTCGCCATGTTGGCCAGGGTAGTCTCGAACTCTTGACCTCAGGTGATCAGTCTGCCTCAGCCTCCCAAAATGTTGGGATTACAGGTGTGAGCCACTGCACATGGTGGCAATATTTCATGTTTAAAAATAGAGATAAGGTCTTGCTCTGTTTCTCAGGCTGTTCTCAAACTCCTGGCCTCATGTGATCCTTCCACCTCGGCCTTCAAAATGCTGGGATTATGGATGCAAGTCACTGTACCCAACCATCCCAGGCAAAGGGAACAGCAAGAACAAAGGAGTCAAGGTGGGAAACATCTTTGAGGTATGAGTACTTCAAGGGGAGTTCTGTGGTCATATTTAGGAGGGTAAGTTGGGGCCAAATAGTGAGCGCCTGCTTGGGAGTTTAGGCTGTGCACCAGAGGGGAGAGGACTGAAGGCTTCTCTGGAGATAAGTGACACCAACTAATTTGTGCCATATAAACACAGCTCTGCCAGCAACGCGAAGCTGGCACAGGACTGGAGGAAGTAGGTACAGAGGCAGTTGGGAGGCAGCTGTAATGGTCTGGTTGAGCACGGATGGGGGCCTGAACTAAGGTGGGGACCACGGGATGAGGTACTCCATATCTCTCTCCCTGGGGGAGCAGCAGCTAAGAAAGGTCGTTTTTATCTGGACAGCAGCTGGTGCCTCCTAGCTCAGCCCGGTCCCACTGGTCAGCTCAGTCTTGGCCACCTGTTCCCACCACCCAGTGATGTGGGCGGCAGGTTCATTAACCCAAACCATGAACTCACTCTCCCTCCCAACACATCTGGCCAGACAGATGTCCCTCCTCTACTTCCACCCCCCACTCCAGGGTAGGAAGAAACAGCTTTCAGCCCAGCTGAGCATTTCCCTCCCTGCAGAAAGGCCAGAGAAACACATGTGCCACCGTAATATAGTAATACTGCCCACTAGAACCACATACATGTACCTCAGCCATGTGGCGTCATAAAAGGAGCACTGGACTAGTAGTTGGGAGGTCTAGGTATGGATCCCAACACTGCTGCCCATGAGCTCTGTGGCCCTCAGCAACCTATTTTTGCTTTCTGAGCCTCGATTTTCCCATCTGTGACATGGGGATAAAGTGCCTGCCTTCCAGGATTGCTTTGTGGACCGAAAGAGTGTACGTGAACATCTGTAAACCTTTGGAGTGCCACTTAAATGTTGCATTTTGTGTATACTCATTCACCCCACCAATCTCTGCTGGGCTCTGACTCTTTACAGGTGCCAGAGTGTGAATACACCTTTGTATTGCCCATTTATGGTCCCATTCCAGCCTGGCTGCCTTCCTGTGATGAGGGAGAACTTTGCTTGAAGTGCAAGCTATCTTCACATCCTGTGTATGACAAATGGGAAAATGGCTTAAATTAAAGGAGGAAAGATTTGATCAGGACTAACTTCCCAATGCAGGAGGCTAGTTGGTTCCTGGAAATCTTCCCAGAAGAAAGGAATCAATTAAGTACTTTGCCCAGAGTAGACACCAAATCAATTGTTGAGTGAAATTGACTCTGCCATATTATTTGCCAGGAGACAAGGAAGCGTGTCCAATGACTTAGGACCCACTTTTCCATCTGACTTTCCATACACCATATACACATGCTTGCATGTTTGGTGCAGGGGAAAGGGACTCAGGCTGACACCTGGCAGACCTGCCTCAAACTAGCTGTGTGACCTTGGAAAGATCTCATGCCCTCTTTGAGTCCACAGCGCTTCTCCTGAATGCCAACCAGAATAAGAAATACATCAAACCTCCTAGGATAGTGATAGTGTCTTGCCCTTGGCATTCCACCACAAGTTTTCTCTGAATGACTGGATGAATGAATAAATGAATGAGTGAATGGCACTCAGGAAGGTACATGATTCATGAAAGCTCCTCTTTCTTCTCTGGGCCTGAGTGTGCCCACCTGGCAGATGTGGGCACTGGGTTGCCTGTTTCCAGGTTCCCTGTCAGTTCAGGCTTCTGTGATCTGCCTCTGTGCTGGAGGAAGGCAGCTGGGAGATTTGGGATCTGCATCTTCACGCCCAGCAGCTCACGCTGCCCTCCCGTTTCAGGGCATGGACAGCAGGTATGTGCTTCTGTTCCCACGGGGCCGCCTGGCTTAGCCCGAGGCTCCCTTTGCTGGGAGAGTAGCCTGGGCTGCAGTCCTGCACTGACCTGCTCTTAACCTCCAGGAAAGTTACACAAATTCCTCCACGCTCCACTGAGAGCTGGGTCGCGCAAGGTGGGGGCAGGAACAATGCTTCCCCTTGTGCCCTCAGCCTATTCCACATCAGCACACATGGAGGAGGAACACAGGAGGCAAGCTGGTGGGGGCACCCAGCTCTGGTTTCAACCATGCCTGGAAATTGGATCTTCTTCCCTGGCCAGAG